TGCAGTGGTTGCCTCTAATTTTAAATGGAAAGAGCACAGACAAAGCCTTATTTTGTTTATATGAAGAGATTTTTTTATTTGATTTTATTTGATTTGGGGCTTGTTTTAAAATTTCAATTTAGTTTTATTATTTACATTTACATTATATTTAAATTTAGTCATTTAGCAGATGCTTTTATCCAAGGCGACTAACAAATGAGGAGAATAGAAGCAATCAAAAGCAACAAAAGAGCAATAATTTACAAGTGCTATATTAGTATATTATTATAGTGTTATATTTCAATTTCACAAAGAAACGCAGCATTTTGTCGAAGCAATAATAAAAGGACACATTTAATTTATAATTGGTCTTAAATCTAATTTTGTTAATTACAAATGAATCGAATCGTGAGTTGAGTGAATCGTTACATCCCGAGTTACATTACTTTTTCTCATTTGGGCTGGGCTTGCTCGTATGTTTTTAATAAATAAAAAGTTATATTTTTGGCATATGTAAAATCCCTTTCACAACAAAAGTGAAATGAATCAGCCTCGGGCTAAAGGAAAATGTAAATTCAGTTATTAACATATTTAATCATTGCAGGTGTGTGTCATATTCTGAGATTGCATTTCAGTTTTTATTAATTTTTAAGGAATACTGAAAGTGTTTGTGTGCAGGTGAGATGAGTAAACACATGTTGATATTTAGTCTAGAACTACAGCAAGATCATGTTCACACACAACGCTCTGCACTTACTCCTGATTTCTGTCACCATGGCAACACCAGAGCTGTCAGTCAATACATGGAAACAAAGTAACTGGCGTTACTTTGAAAAAGTAACTAAGATATTTTACTGTAAATTTTAAATTAATGCACTACTTTACTAGTTTCTTGAAAAAAGTAATCTGATTACGTAACTCTCGTTACTTGTAATGCGTTACTCCAACACTGGCTTCAGGAAGTGTCAAATGAAAACGGTGTTCTCCAGATAAATAACCAGCAGGACAACATCAGTAGAAACCGTGCTCAGGATTACTCTACGATTAATCACGCACCTGCTGTTTTCTTCTGCTCGTCGAACAGATCGGCTGAGCTGATCGCTGAACTACCCGAGAAATTCTCCAGCAGCGCCCGAACCTCATACTGCAATCAGAAAACATGTCACAATAACACCGGGGTTTCTGCAGGACTTTTGAGCTCAAATTTAAGAGCTTTTAAGACCTGCACAAATAAAATTAATACCATTTAAGCACGGTGGGGCAATGTCTATAGTAACATATTAAACTGTGAAATGACTGTAAAAGCATGTTTTACAGTTCAGATACAAGTTTTCACAAAACAAAATGTTTTATAAAATGATAAACTTCACAGCTTTTAAACCATTTTTAAGAAAATGGATGAGTCAAAAGTATAAATTATTATATTCATTTATACAATTATTATCAATCAATTGTTATATTAGTTTATACAACAGTTCTTCTAAAATCTCATCACATTTATGTAAATTCAATGCTGTATATCAGAGCGCTGCCTTTGTACTTTTTGACTGAATTGCCTAGCAGCTTTTATGATGGCTGTTGTTGTTGTTTATTCAATATTATTATTCAATAAATAATATTTTATATACATAATAGTATTGGGAAACAGTGTGTGTTCGTGATGGTGATTTTGGTGACATTGTTCCGCCATTAGATGGCGACAAGAGACTGTTTCACGAGTCAGCAGTAAAGACTTTTAAATTGAAAGAGACTAAAAAGTGTTTTGAACTAGTTTTGAACAAGGAAGTTATTTTTACTTTCAACAGTTTGTAAGCAGACAACAAATGCACAGAGCAGCGCTGTCAATGGAAATCACCCTTAACAGATGAAAGGATAGTACGACAAAGATATCGCTTTCCTCAGCGGACATTCAAACTAATGTTTTATTGTGAATATGAGACCGAGCTGAAGAATGAATGCAGCATCAGATGCAGGTAATCACACTCGCTCAATCAATCTCTCATACACATAATACACAGCTTTTACTACAGGAATACAATAAGCTTTTAATGAAGCAACTCAAGGTTCCTTCGTTACTAGTTCTAAAGTGACGTTTCTGAATTAGTAACGGATCTTGAGCTCAGCTGTTAAACTGTCAACTTTAGATTTGAATTCCTGGCAGAAGGAAGTAGTTATGCACAAAAGAGGGCTTTTAAAGACACTTGTTATTTTTATTTATTTTTTTTAAGTATTTACACAAACTGTTGTATAAACACAATATCACACGAGTAGACATGAGGTATGGCTGTATAGCACACTGTGATTACCTACGGCCGAGTCACAGCCGTGCCGATATACAGCCATATCTCACGTCTACGAGTGTGATATTGCTCATATAACATATAAATATATTTTACTCTCTTAATTATTTAGATTTTTATAATGCATTATCTTCTTATCGATCCACCGGTTCACATTTACAGCTCTGCGTGTTTTGCAGCGCTCATATTTATTTAATGAAATCATAGCCTTTTGAAGTTTAATCGTCATATTAAGCCATTTCGCAATTCTAGTCTTTCCGTCCACAAATTTAAGACCTTGAAATCATAATTAAGACTTTCTTGTGCAATTTAAGACTTTTTATGGCCTTAAATTTGATCCAACTAAATGTAAGACTTTTTAAGGACCCACGGAAACCCTGAACACCACAGAGCTCATATTTCTCAGCGGCGTCTGTTTGACGTGTCACCTCTGCATTGTCCTGCTTCCCGAAGAACATGTCGGATGAAATGGCTCTGGCGTCGCCGAACTTCTTCTGAGCATCGTCAGAGACGGCCTGTGGCTCCCCTGCGAGCACACCAACACTGAGTCGCAGTACATGTCAGTTTTATTTCCAGTGCGGTGCAGTGCTTCATCTGACCTGTCATCTGGGTCCCGGTAGACATCAGTCTGCTTCGAGAAGAACCGATCCGACGATCCCACGGCTTCATCCAGGAGCCTGTGGGAAGAGACGCAGGACACGCTCATGAACACACAGCAGGAAACACAAACAGAGCCTCAGGAATGAAGCGGCACCTGGAGGAGAAGCGCCTGTCCTCCTGCTCCTCGTCCTCCTCATACGCTCTCCTGCTGGAGGAGCTCAGAGCCGGAGACTCCTGCTGGATCATCTGCATGTCCTCTGTCACCGAGTGAGACAGACCGCTGGAAAACACAGTGCACGACAGCCGCCTTAGCCCCGCCCACACTCAAAACACACTGGACAACTTTAAACTCCACCCACACGCACATCTCATTGTTCAAAATGAAACTCCGCCCACACTTCCTTTACATTGGTCAAAATCAAAGTCCGCCCACACTTCCTTCACATTGTTCAAAATCAAACTCCGCCCACACTTCCTTTACATTGGTCAAAATCAAAGTCCGCCCACACTTCCTTCACATTGTTCAAAATCAAACTCCGCCCACACTTCCTTTACATTGGTCAAAATCAAAGTCCGCCCACACTTCCTTCACATTGGTCAAAATCAAACTCCGCCCACACTTCCTTTATATTGGTCAAAATCAAACTCCGTCCACAATTCCTTCACATTGGTCAAAATCAAACTCCGCCCACAATTCCTTCACACTGGTCAAAATGAAACTCCGCCCACACTTCCTTCACGTTGGACAAAATGAAACTCCGCCCACACTTCCTTCACGTTGGTCAAAATTAAACTCCGCCCACACTTCCTTCACGTTGGTCGAAATTAAACTCCGCCCACACTTCCTTCACATTGGTCAAAATTAAACTCCGCCCACACTTCCTTCACGTTGGTCAAAATTTAACTCCGCCCACTAGGGATGCAACAAAATGAAACACTGGGCCGAAGGCCGAATACCGAAGTCAAAATTAAACTCCGCCCACACTTCCTTCACGTTGGTCAAAATTAAACTCCGCCCACACTTCCTTCACGTTGGTCAAAATTAAACTCCGCCCACACTTCCTTCACGTTGGTCAAAATTAAACTCCGCCCACACTTCCTTCACGTTGGTCAAAATTTAACTCCGCCCACTAGGGATGCAACAAAATGAAACACTGGGCCGAAGGCCGAATACCGAACATGGTTTTTCCCTTTTTTTCCCCCTATGTATTTTGACGATTTTGTTTCGCCATTGCAAAAATTAAATAGCCAAAATGTGCTTTTTACTGTTTTGTCTTGCTTTTCAAAAAGAAAAAGATAATTACAAAACAATAATTTAAAAATATTTAACACTGAACACTTTAACATTCTAGCAGACAGTATACCAACAAAGCACAATTAAACACAATTAAAGTTAGTAAAATAGAAATATTTTTTGGCCATTTTTGAGATGCCCTTCTTGAAGTGTTCGGTACACTTTATTTGGCCTTTTCGCTTATTCGGCAGAACACCGAAAGAGCTTTTTTTACTATTTTCAGCCGAATAATTTGGGTTGCCGTACATCCGGTGCATCCCTACCACCCACACGCACATCTCATTGGTCAAAATCCCACTCCGGCCAGTCTTACAGCTCACAAAGACAACTGACCTGCGTCCGCCGAAGCCCATGCTGAGCCGCTCCGCCTGCTCCTGCTTCTTGCTGTCCAGACGGCTCAGCTTGGCCTCGTCTCTCCTCCGCTGCAGCTCCAGACTCTCGTAGGCACGGCTCAGAGACGACACTCTGCACACACAGACCGAGCGCAGGGTGAGCAGACGCTCATGTGTTCTGACCTTCAGATGCTTGCAGTGGCTCACTCACTCGGGCTCAGCGCTGTTCTTCTGCGAGCTCCTCTCCTCCTGCAGTCTGTCTACAGCCTGAGCTCGCTTCTGCTGCGCCCTGAAGCTCTGACTGCTGACCTTCTGAGCGCCCAGACCCGCCTGATTCATTCACACAAACCACAAAACACCGAGCGCAAGACTGCAGACAGGCCTGTTAAATATTCCGTTATATAAAACAAACGTCAAACTCTCAGAAATGTGTGCTTTGGGTTCATGATGGTTTCTTGTGGTCTTGAAAGTTTGAAGTTGCACCACATGACAGTTTTGACCTGACACCGTTACGTCAAACAAGATCAAATGATCTGATATCGGAATTTCATTTTTAAATCATAAAAAGCATGACGTTTTTGAGGAGTTGCACCACACAACATTTTCCAACCTAAACGGACCTTGCCTTCATGATGGTTTCATGTTGAACGTTTATTCAATTTACTGACTCTAAAAATGTCATATGGTATAACCACAACAAAATACTTTCCTTACACATTAAATGCTTTTAAGAGGACACGTCTTAAATTATTTTCCAAAAAGTTTGTAACCTATTTTTCAAGATATAACGATTTTTTAAGACAAATATAATTTATTCAAAAAGTTTTTGGAAAGTCGCACCACATGACGACTTTTACAACCTGAACTGACCTCACACAAGATCAAATGATCTGATATTTTAAAGGATGTACTGACCGCTGCATGATGGTTGCACCACATGACTTTGAATTTGCATTTCACTGACTCTTAAAAATATCATGTGGTGTAACCACCAAGTAGAAAGTATTGAAATAATTTCATTCAATCTTAATTATTAATTACACCATAATATACTTTTCACTGTAAAAATGATTGCATTTTTGGGGAGTTACACCACATGACATTCAACAATTTGAACTACCCTTGCCTCACCATAAAAAGATATTTCAAGAGACTTGACACACACACACACACTCATGAGGGTCTGCAGGGGTCCGCTCAATGACATCATTTCCTGTTTCCTGTCATACTGGTCACTCCACACTGATGGACAAGTTTTACAAATACTGATAAACAACTTGTTAAAATATTATTTTCTAAGAAATAATAATAAAGGATCATGACAAACTAACTAATAAGGTTATTTTTTAAAGCATTTAATTCTTTAAATGTTCTTTCTTCACTATAACATTAGGAGAGTTGCACCACCCTGACATATTTGAATTTATACCCATCAAAAAAAAATATTACAATTTATTTTCAATACAGAAGTTAAAAACATGGTCATCACAGAAGACATGTCAGGAACTCACCGATTTCTTTCCTGTGGTGTGTTTCTTCTTGATCAGAGAGGGCGGCTCTGTGAGAGGAGAATCAGACGAGTTATGATTCGAGCTGTGTGTGTCCGTGAGGATGATGATGAGCTTTACCTGCAGCAGATGTAGAAGACACACTGAGCTGCTCCACACTGGGACCCACCTCACTCTCACCTGCGCTCAAGAGAGAAAAACATCCTCCAGAAACACAAAGCATCACACTCATAGGAGCACACTGCGTTTCCTCAGTTATCATACCGTTATTATTCTTATCCTGAACTGTGTTCTGCGGTCGGCTGGTGTTCAGCTGAACACTGAGTCCTTCCTTCAGGGGTGTCTGGGGAAAAACGGCAAAAGCACAGTTTTAAAGGCATATATACAGTGGTGTGAAAAAGTGTTGGCCCCCTTCCTGGGACCAAAATTCCTCCACAGCGCTGTAACAGACTCATTGCAAGTTATCGCAAACGCTTGATTGCAGTTGTTGCTGCTAAGGGTGGCCCAACCAGTTATTAGGTTTAGGGGGCAAACACTTTTTCACACAGGGCCATGTAGTTTTGGATTTTGTTTTCCCTTAATAATAAAAACCTTCATTTAAAAACTGCATGTTGTGTTCACTTGTGTTATCTTTTACTAATATTTAAATTTGTTTGATGATCTGAAACATTAAAATGTGACAAACATGCAAAAAAATAAGAAATCAGGAAGGGGGCCAACACTTTTTCACACCACTGTATGATAAATGATCCATGCATACGTATTAAATGACACGGCGGCTGTTCCTCACCCGGGTGTGCTGGGTGAAGAAGTCCTCGTGTTTGTCGAGGGGTGATGTGGGTGACAGAGGAGCCTGACCATCCAGCCATAACTGAACACACAGACAACAACACGAGCTCTGGATTTGACTCGGAGACAGGGTTCGTACAAGGTGCTTAAAGTGCTTCAAATACCTGAATTTGACTTTTTGACATTTAAGTCCTGGAAAACAGCCATATTTATGAAAAACTTTTAAAAGGCAGTATATATGAAGTTAGTGTTAATTTTTGTTTTGGATAAAAACACTGTTTTCACGCAATATTAACAATGCAGCGCGTCTGATATAAATACAGAGCCCCCTGCAGGTATTTGTTATAATACATAAAGTACTTAAGTTTATGTTCATATTATGTATAGGCATACTACATTATGCATTTTAAATAAAACCATGCAGTTACTTGGTTTTGATACTTTATTTGAACCGATTATTATCGCCTCATCGTTATTTTATATACAGTATATGAATATAGTCATATTGAAGCCTGTTTTTCACTTAGGTCTATTTTTATTACTAAAAATATCAGATTACTTGTCAAAATAATTAGTAGATTACTTGATTACCAAAATAATCATTAGTTACGGCCCTGGATTAGTTAAAACATTTCAAAATACAACTGCATTGTTTTGTTTTTTGCAATTAAAAGACAAATATTTTGTCACTAAAAAGGTCTTAAAAATAGTATTAAAATATTGTCTCGTTCTAGTCAAACAAGTATCTGTATTTTGTGTATTGTCACACCCCTGGAGTCGATAAGCGGTGATATAGTTCATAATTTTCCAAGTGTATGATATAGTGTTCATTCTTCAGGTCAATCATATATTAATGGGAAAAAAATCAGTTTGAATAAGGGAAGCGATGACTTTGCCATAGTATCCTTTCAAATGTTAAAGTTGCCACAGTCACTGCATTCTTTGCATTTTTTGTACCATTTTATTTTATTAATTTATTAGAATTTGAAAAATAATTATTGTTTGATCAGTGTGATCTCTGATTTTAGCCCTTGAAAACAAAATAAAAGTAGTGCCTGAAAAGTCCTTGAAAGTCCTGGAATTTCATTTTGCGGTATCTGTACGTACCCTGCTGAGAGCACAGGTGTGAGAGTGTGTGTGTGGTTTTGTGTGTGTGTGAGTGTGTATGTGTGTTATAGTGCGAGTCTGTGTATGTGTGTGTTATAGTGTGTGAGTGTGTATGTGTGTTATAGTGCGAGTCTGTGTTTGTGTGTGTATGCATGGGCGACATTTGATTTGAGTCAGGGGGGGGGCAAGAATTTTTTTTTTATTATATATATATATATATATGAAATAAATAAATAAATAAAAGCAAAAGTTTTTTTTTTCTGATGCAAGCATCAAAACAATGCCCTACCGTATTGCAGCGAATTAAAGCAGTCAATCCAACACAGTTTACTAAACTGTGGCAACCTCTTTAAGCTATTCTTGACTGTGAACTAGCTTTGGCTCTTGCTGCTGACTTGAATTGTGATGCTTCCCGTTTGTCAGTTGATGGCCTTTCATTTTTAACCAGAAATGTGCGCGCTGCTTTTCTGATGTTCACTGAAGTTTTCCGTGTCTCTGTCCCGTGTCACTTGAAATGTGTCCGCTTTGAATCGTTGTTACCAAAGGCGAGACACGTGAGGAAAAAATTAAACGATCAGTTGTGGGTCTATATTCTGTCATAAATCACATACCATTCATTGCTGAACTTTCTACCGTCCGTTACTGGAAATGAAATGAAATTACGGGTTGATATGTCCTGATCTGAATAAAGTTTACACACGCTTTTGGTCCGTGAATTAGATCTCACTCGAGACGCACGCTGTCTGTGGAGGTTTGGCCAGGACTGGTTCCAGAATTAAATCAACATTTTATGTTCCGTCCATTGCCAATCACTGCTATTTCGAGAGTGAGTCCCGCATAAATATGCGGATGTCATGCCCGAAACTTTGCAGGGTGAATCGGTGAAGCTCTCCAAACGGCACAATTAATCTCTTATTTACATCTCGTCTGCACTTAGTCATGAGATGATTCACGAGCGTGCAAAACTGCACTTAAAAACAGTGTGTGTGTTATAGTGTGTGTGTATGTATGTTTGTGTGTGTTATAGTGTATGTGTGTGTGTGTGTTATAGTGTGTGTGTGTGTGTTATAGTGTGTGTGTGTGTTATAGTGTATGTGTGTGTGTGTGTGAGAATGTTTGTGTGTATGTTATAGTGTGTGTGTGCGTTATAGTGTGTGTGTGTGTTATAGTGTATGTGTGAGAATGTTTGTGTGTGTATGTTATAGTGTGTGTGTGTGCGTTATAGTGTGTGTGTTATAGTGTGTGTGTGTGTGTGTGTGTTATAGTGTGTGTGTGTGAGAATGTTTGTGTGTGTGTTATAGTGTGTGCGTGTGCATGTTATAGTGTGTGTGTGAGAGTGTTTGTGTGTGTGTTATAGTGTGTGCGTGTGCATGTTATAGTGTGTGTGTGAGAGTGTTTGTGTGTGTGTTATAGTGTGTGCGTGTGCATGTTATAGTGTGTGTGTGAGAGTGTTTGTGTGTGTGTTATAGTGTGTGCGTGTGCATGTTATAGTGTGTGTGTGAGAGTGTTTGTGTGTGTGTTATAGTGTGTGCGTGTGCATGTTATAGTGTGTGTGTGAGAGTGTTTGTGTGTGTGTTATAGTGTGTGCGTGTGCATGTTATAGTGTGTGTGTGAGAGTGTTTGTGTGTGTGTTATAGTGTGTGCGTGTGCATGTTATAGTGTGTGTGTGTGACCTCTGTGCCGTGTTGTCGGGTGGCCTGCGTGGCCAGACTCTTGATTCTCTCGCGGTACAGCACCGCTGCTCTGCTGTTGTATTTGGCGTTGGCTGCGCTGGCGGTACAGCCGTGCTGACTGAAGAAGGCACTCTGTAGGGAACACACTCACATTACCTTACATACATCAGTGGAGCGCTCACTGGTTTCTTCATTAGGCAGAACAGACAGCAGAGACACTCACCGTGCTGGCATTGCCTCCCACCTGCATACAGCGCAGCTGGAACCAGGACCAGTTCGAGTCCAGCTCAGTGGACCTGCAACAGCGGTGAGAAGAATTCATCTCAGCAACGAGTGTCACTGCAGAAACACTGACAGCGCTGTGAAAAAGTAAGTGAACCCCACGACCACATGAGGCAGCATCGCTGATGGAGCTTTCTTGTGACAGTCGCGATGGGATGAGCGAATAGAGTTGAGATTGAGATCTTTTATTATATAAAATGATCTGCAAAATTTCACTTGTGTTCTGTGGAAAACATATGTGCACCTCTACATTTAGTAGGTGATATCGCCCCCTGTGGGGAAAACTGTAAGAACCTCTTGTTGGCTTTTATCATAATTGACTGTCAGGAGACGTTTTGTATGTTCCTTCATGTAGAATTTCATGGATTATATGGCATTTTTCCCTGATTAAGGAGAGTGTAAAGTTTCCCTGATGAAGGACAGTTTGAGAGTGTAAAGTTCACCTGACGAAGGACAGGTGAGAGTGTAAAGTTTTACCTGACGAAGGACTCCGAGAGTGTAAAGTTTTACCTGACGAAGGACAGGTGAGAGTGTAAAGTTTCCCTGACGAAGGACAGGTGAACTCCCAGTGAGCGGTGAGTCCCTGAGCAGTCAATGCAGAGAAAAACACCATACGTGATGCTCGCCCAGCTGGGGTTCTTCACAGAGCAGTCAAAACACACCTGACAACATACAAGATACCAAATAAATACAATCAACATCAACACAAAACTGCACCATATTGCTTAACGGCAAATTTCTGAGTCAACAGTCTATCCGACTTCAAATGATCTAATAATTAATCAGATAGAAACATTTCAAGTCACACATTTTAACACACGTTCTATTTTCCCACTTATTTGAATATTTTTCGCTCTGTTCTGTACAGTTACAACACAGGTTAGTTTCTACACAACACGTTTAGAAACATTCGCGGGAAAATCAAACTCAGTGTGAATCAGGACATCTGTTTTGAGTTATAAAGCTCGTTTAATAATAGCAATGATGAATGATTCGTGTAAAAACAGCAGCTTCACCTGCCATATGTTTGGCATAAACATGTGACGCTCTCAGACTCGCAGTGTTCGCGGGGCCGGCCCGCAGGCGCTTGAGCACAGAGGTGATGTGGCTTCCTCCTGCGGCGACGTCACGCACACGGAGGGCGCTGATTGGCGGAAAACACGCTCACGCTGAGCTAATACAAACAGCAGGACAAACCAACCGGATGCAGTCATTTAATTAGTTTCATTCTTTTGTTGCATGTGTGTGGGTCAAAGACGAGACGTCCTGTTTCGAGTCCGCATCACATTTACAAAAGTGAGTTTATATACAAATAAAACGCACTAGATGCAAGTGTCTACCTTAATGTTTTGTCAAAATATGGGTGAAAAAAATGTTCCAGCGTCACAGATACATGTATAATGAAACATCCTTATTCTGACTTTATAAATGATATAAAAGCATAAGTGACCACACTAAATTTGATATATATATATATATATATATACACACACATGCATGTATATATTTCAGAAAAATGTTTATATATAATATAAATGTTATGAATATGCATGTAAATATTTTCAAAATATATACTGCATGTGTGTGTATTTATATATACATAATAAATATACACAGTATACACATTATGTAAACAAAAACTTTATTTTGGATGCGATTAATCGCTTGACAGCACTAATATACATATGTATAAACATTAAAAATATATATTTAAAACAGAAAAGAATAATTCAAGCAATGGAAAAAGTGAAGGAAAGAAAAAATGATCAAACAATTTTATTTTTTGTTTTTTATGGGTAAAACCAAATGATTTGATATATATATATATATATATATATATAATAAAAAAAATAATGCAAAACAGCAGCACAGAGTACAACGCATTAATCATTTTTTATTTATTTGTCGTATGTATATTAATTATATGTAAATTTAATATTGACTGTTATGAAACATGAAGAAATGATTAAAATAAAGAAAGGAATTGTAGTTTATATTTATATATATTTTAAACAGAAAAATAATAATTCAAGAAATGTAACCAATTCATTTATTGTCCGCTTGACAATATACAAAAGTGAATAAACTCCAATAAAGTGTGTAACTGAGTTTTGTCATGTGACGTCTCGAACCAAACGCGCCACCTGACGTGAACAGCAATATTCAACTCATTCGATCCATTTCAGCGCTGAACAACCGTGAAAAACCATTGCAACACACACACACACACTGAACTGCATCCGTAACTGTGTTTAACGCAGCGACACCTGAGAGAAACAAGACTCGGCGTCCGATTCATATTTACACACTTCAACATTCATATGCTGTAACATTCGCATTGTGATCACAGCATCTGCCTCTGGACCAGTTTATGAAGCCACACACACACAGTAATATATATATATATATATGAGGCCCTCTACAGCATGTCATCCAGTGCACATCCAGATCCAGCCGACCCCCATCCTAAAAACCCACTCAAACACAGCCGGCCGCAGAGGTCAGAGGTCAGGTGGAGCCGGCTCAATTCAACAGGTCAGAGCCATAAAATCATGGTGTCCATCCGCATCGATTGTGTTCCTAAAAGCAAACAGCATTGGTAAAAATCTCTTTAAAATACAGCCGACCCCGAGCGCACGTCTGTTTCTGATCGACTGCAACACATGAAGTCAGCTCTAGTGTGGCTGTGTGGCTGCTTCAGAGGTCACTCCAGGTCCTCCACGTAGTTGGCGGGGTAGAGGCCCACGGTGCCGTCGCTCAGGCGTCCTTTACACCAGCCCTGCTCGTCCTCCTCGCCCATCTTCATCAGCTGATCTCCTGGCATCACAACACAAGCACTTCAGGCACAGAGTCATAGTGCTGCTGGGGAGGTTACACAGGAGTATTTTTCTTGCTTTATTGGCCTTGAACGGTTAAATACACACACTTATGTGTGTCAAAATGCCCATCGTTTAGGTCTTAAGTGAGAGTGAACAGCTGAGAAAGAAGACGCATGTGGAACAGTATATTGGATGCGGATGTTAGCTCTTAAAGTGACAGCAGTCTAATATTCCCGCTGTCTGTCCTTCATGTTAATCAAACACCAGTGAAAGAAAACCGCTCGCTGCTCTCGACTAAATCTTTGTAACTTTCATAGTAAGAAATTGAATTTACACAGTGAAAGTGTTTTTGATTAATTTATACAACGTATGTAGCATTTATTTATTGTAGTTTTTGTCCTGTTGCTTGTGTTTTACTTATCTTCAGTGAGCTTGAGTTTTTGGACAGTATGTCACAAGAATTATGACAATTCTAGGAACATTTAAAAGATGAAAAAGAAGAGCTAGGGAGAATCAATACATTTGGAATAATTTATTAGTATTGTGTGAATAATATGTAATCACGTGATCAATAAAAAAGTAATTGTAGTCTGATTACAAGTAATTTAATCTAATTACAAGTACTTCATTTTTGGGTTGCACTTTATTTTAAGGTGTCCTTGTTACAGTATAATTATATATTTAAGTACTGAGTAATATTAATGAACTACATGTACTTACTATATGGTTAGGGTTACTTGCATGTAATTATGCATAATTAATTGTTATTAGAATAGTATGTGCATGTAACGTGTGTAACAAGGACACCTTAAATAAAGTGTTACCCATTTCTGTAACCTGATCACGTAATCCCGATGACATGTAATCAGTTATACCTGCTTTGAAGGTGAGCTCGTCCTGCTCCTGTCCGTCGTAGTCGTATAGGGCGCGCACCGGCACACACACCTCCGCTGAAGACGGCTCGTCCTCGAACGGATTGCCGTTAGCGTTAGCGGACGCGAAGGGATTGCCTGCCTCCTCATCGGAGCGGTCGGCTGCCGTCTTCTCTACAGTACCAGCGCTGAGAGGAGAGGAGACACCACACACTTCAGACACACGCCAGCAGACAGACCCAGAGCGGCTCAACCGCACATGACACTCCTGCTGGTCTGAGATTCATCAGTCTGTCAACATATTCTGTGTAATCATGTGTCACGTGAGGCTTATAGCCGCTGTGTGTGTGTGTGTGTGTGTGTGTGTGTGAGGTCACGTGTGTGTCATGAGTAGCCATGCAGAGACACACACAGGACCTGAAAGAAACCAGCAGCAGAAACACAAGCAGACAGACAGAGACAGAGAGGAGGCTGTGAGGTCACCAACGTTTGTGCTGTCACTTCCTCTCGTTTGACAGCGACCGGGCTGCTCTTGGGCCGCTCCACTGCTGCCACCGGCTCTTCCTCATCCTCCTCCTCGCCATCATCATCCTCATCAAACGGGTTCAAGCATGCTGCTTCTGAGCTACTGGCCACAGCCACGCTAACAACACAGAGACAGTGTTACATCACACACACACACACATCTCTCACACACACATACACACACATCTCTCACACACACACACACACACACACACATCTCTCTCTCACACACACACACACACACACACACACACACACAC